TACTGCTGCACGACAGCGCCAAAGCCTCATGACTTAGCTCTTCCATGGCCCATTCTCCGAGAGAGGGGGCCGGCGGCAGGGGGCGAAGCCCTTACGGATAACAGCAACAACCACAGTAACAACAACAACAACAACAACAACAACAATCATTTTACCCGAACGCTCAGTGTTCTCACCAGTGCCAGGGTTTTCATGCGACGCGAGACAATACCCCCACTTCGTGGGGGGGCAGTTCAAGCTCTACCAAATATCCAAACGACTCTTCGCGACCACCCAAACCCAGCTTCCCGCCCTATGACGTTGGGACACTTCACTTCGTGGCGTGCGGACGACCGTGGCTACTACACTGGCGTGGGGTACACACCCACAGAACTTGGTCACTTATTCGGGGCGCGCGTGTGCCCAGCATCCTGCAATTGTGACATACAATACATGACACAGACAGACAGACAGAGAGAGAGACAGAGAGCAGACAGAGAGAGAGACAGAGAGAGCGGAGTTGGTCACATTTTTGGGGCAAGTTCCTGAGATCGTCGTGTTTTTTGTTGGTCTTGCGCGCGCGAATGTCCACTTTACTTTTTTTTGCAAGGGATGTTGAAATTTGATTATGTAAGAACAAGAAAAAGTAGCTCGCGCGAGCTTATGTAACATAAATGTTGAAAAACCATTGGTTTTGTGGGAGTCGGACAGCGCGCGCGGGATGAAATTTGGACATTTTTTTTTGAAAAACCATTGGCTTTTTGATGTTTTTATGTTGAAATCGTTACGAAACCTAAGGTTCTGGAAGGATTTCGTCTTGCGCGCGCGAATGTCCACTTTACCTTATTTTTTGCAAGGGATTATTGAAATTTGATTATGTTAGAACAAGAAAAAGTAGCTCGCGCGAGCTCATGTAACATAAATGTTGAAAAACCATTGGTTTTGTGGGATTCGGACAGCGCGCGCGGAAGGACATTTTGACAATTTTTTCTTAAAAAACCATTGGGTTTTTGATGTTTTTATGTTAAAATCGTTACGAAACCTAAGGTTTTGGAAGGATTTCGTCTTGCGCGCACGAATGTCCACTTTACCTTATTTTTTGCAAGGGATTCTTGCAATTTGATCAAGTAAGAACAAGAATTTTCATTTTCTATTGTTTTTTGCAAGGGAAAACGGCGTCAACAAAAAACCGGATCCGGACCAATCGTTTTGCCTGAGACTTCCTCACGAAAATGATGAAAATGTAGGCTGCGGCCTAGGCGCGGCGGGGGGGCGCGCACCAGGGGTCCCAACAATAATTATTCTTTAGAAGAAATAATGTTCAACAACAACAACAACAACAACAACAACAACAACAACAACAACAACAACAATTACTAGCACGTGGGGACACTCCGTTCTCACCAGTGCCAGGGTTTTCATAGGAGGCGGGCAATACCCCCACTTTGTGGGGGGGCCGGTTCAAGCTCTACCAAATTTCCAAACGACTCTTCGCCACCACCCACACCCAGCTTCCCGCCCTATGACGTTCGGACACTTCACTTCGTGGCATGCGGACGACCGTGGCTACTATTCAGGGCCCCGCGGCCGACGACGACGGCGTGCGCGCGCGAAGAAAAAACGAATGTGTCCCGCATGGTATTATTTGACAGGGATGATGGCCCTGGCAGGTGCGCAACCGTTGTTGCAGAAGTTCGAAAAAGTTGCTCGCAAAAGCCCGTTTGACAGAAATGTTTAAAAAGTGTTGGGTTTCCTACGAATCCGCAAGAGCGCGCGGGATGAAATTTTGACATTCTTTTTTTTGAAAAAAAAACATTGTTTTTTTGATGTTTTTATGTTAAAATCGCTACGAAAACTAAGGTTTTGGAAGGATTTCGTCTTGCGCGCGCGAATGTCCACTTTACCTTATTTTTTGCAAGGGATTCTTGAAGTTTGGTTATGTTAGAACAAGAAATGTCCACTTTAGCTTATTTTTTGCAAGGGAAAACCGATCGTAACAACACAACCGGATCCGGACCAACCCGTTTTGCCTGAGACTTCCTCACGAAAATGATGAAAATGAGGCTGCGGCCTAGGCGCGGCGGGGGGGTCGTGCACCAGGGGTCCCAACAATAATTATTCTTTAGAAGTAATAATGTTCAACAACAACAACAACAACAACAACAACAACAACAACAACAACAACGACAACAACACCAACAACAACAGCAACAACAACAACAACATTAAGTCGCATCGCGGAATCCCACTTCGGCCACGAATCCAGGGACAGTGAATGACCGTTCGGCCCCCCCCACTCTGATTATCCAGCAGTAGCAACACTCATGCGCCGATGACCACCACATGGGACGAGGCCTTCTCCAATAATTCACACACGCTGGAGGTAAACGAAGGGGGGGGGGCGAACGACCTTCGGAAGCTCGAGAGCGACCTCCGTGCCACGAGGGATCTAGTTGACAACAAGTCGTCTCAGCTCGAGGTGTTCTTCGAGAAGTACAAGGCCTTGCATGAGGCAGCCGAACAACGGCCAAGCAGCGGAAGGGCGCCCATGGCAACGCGGTCGGGGCGTCCAGCGGCGACGGCGGATGTGCATCAGCGACGCCAGCTCCAGAGGCCGACGTCGTCGGCCACGCCCGGCCAAGTGGAAGGGCGCCGCCCAGCTAGCTGCCACTGTCGCGGCCGCGGGGCGGAGGGCAGGCGTCGCAGCGAACAACGAAGACATCTAGGTCGAGTCGTTCTGGCCCCCTGCTTCGCACCCCCTGGGCAATGAGAGATGCTGGGGGGGCTCCTCGCGCAACCAATCCTCTTCCACGACTGGAGCGGGATCAGCTTCCGCGGGCCCTGGGTCTTCGAGTAGTAATGAAACGTGGATTTGCTTCGCGAATGTCACGGTACTTGGAAGACGTCTCGGGTTCTCTCCCACTAGCAGTAACGCCGCTAAGTGTTGCCTCGTGGCGTTGTGCGAGGCTCATGTTGAGTCAAGTGCCGACGCTGCTCATTGGAAACCTGGGGTCTCTAATGCCAAGCGTCGTTTACGTTGCAACCCCGCCTGTGGCGCCGGGGAAAGCGCGACCTCGGCAGGTCAGAACCGCGCCAGCGAAAGGGGTGGATTTACGTGAAGTCGCCGGCTCCTCAGGGTACATTCGCATGCAAGTTCCGAGAGCGTTTGAAACGATATTGCAGTCGATGGTTCTGCCGCGGTCGACGGACGCGCTGCAGCAAGGCATCATCAGAAAAAAAAAACATTCTGTCAGGTCGATCACTTGTTCTGCCTACTCGGGCGAGGGCTTTCGGGGCAAGAATATTCGTCGTTTCGCTCGCCTCGGGGCCTTGCCCCAGCAATGTCGTCTTCCGCGGGCGGCGGCCGGGGCGTGGAACCACCCCCCCGAGACGTTGCAGCGCGCAGTTTTCGTCGACGAAGGAGATGGGGGGACTTGCGCGAGACGCCTCGACAATGTGCGCTCGCTTTGATCGAGCACTCGCATCAGTCGTGCACTTGCGGTTTCGGACAGTGCTCCTATCATTTCTCGAGTTGAGGCTCGCCCCGACGCGCCATGGGGGCCTCGCAATGGCCTCGCCCTTGGGGCACGCAACTCTAATCGACGCGCTCGTCGCCGCGAGCTTCGGGCGGTCCGAGGTTGCCGCAAGCCCCAGCGGGTTCTCAGTAACGGCCCCCCTGACGCAACGCGCCCCTGCCGGGAGTGGGGGAAGGCGCCGCGGCGCAAACGTGTGACCGATGGAAAGTCACGGCTGGCCCTCGCGGATCGTGCCACCGTAGGGGGTATAAACTTTCCAGCCGCCCCGACGGCGAACATATGTTTTATCACATGATTCGCCCCTTGATATATATATATATGTATATGTCTATATATATAGATATATGTGTGTGTGCGTGTGTGCGCGCATGTGTGCGTCAGCACGGATGATGTCACCCGCCTGTTGTCTTCCTGCGTGGCGGAGATCACGCCTCCACAGCTCCAGAGGCCCCCGCTTGCGCTGGCGAATGAGCGCCCATTCCCCACCGCGCCCTCACCGACCAAGCGTGCTCGGGCCGCCGGCCCAGCCGAGGCCCTTGGCGACGGCGCTGCTGCCCCCGAGACCCTTGGCTTATCTGCGCTCTTTCAGAGCCTCCTCTGCGCCGCCCAGGCTGCCGGGGACCCGCCACCCTCAACCGTCGGTCGAGCCGCATCGCACCACGCCCGCCATCTCATTGCCGACCGTCGGGGGGCCGCTGCGGGCGTCCCGGCCGCTGACGCCCTTGCCGCTGCCAAGCGGGCCATATCCCGTGCCGGGCCCGGGATCAGCGCCCCCGCCCCGTCGCAGCGGCGGCGACCAGGTTGTCCCACAGATGACCTCAGCCGCGCCCGCCGCCAGCGGGATCCCCGGCAACGACCCGACGCCGAAGCCCAGGCCGCCCCGCGGGCTCCGGCGGCCCAGGACCCGGCATCTGGCCGACAAGGAGAAGAGAGGTCTTGCGCACGACGACGCGGGGACCTGACGCTGCGGCTTCTGCAAAACGCCAACGCGGCACACTACGTGGAAACGAGGGCGTTTACTACGCGAGACCGCAGGCGGGCAGCTTACGCGTGAATGCCCGCGCAGTCGAACATATGTTTGGTGCGTCGCTCCATGTAGCGTCGGGCACGCGTGCGCGAACCCCCATCCCGTCTGGGGGAGGGGCCCGGAGAACCTTGCGATCCCTCGGGGGGAGGGACAGCCGACCCCGAAGCTGGGATCATATGGCGGGTTCGGGAACTCCTGAGAACCCAAAAATGTTGCCATCTCTTGGGAGCGCATCATTTTTTTATACCTCCGCCGGCCTTCCGCCAGCTTCCGCTGGCGGAGCCGCCCTCGCATTACTCCCACCAACTTCCGCCGCCCTTCCGCCACCTCCCGCCGAGGGAGAGATGGCAGATCATTTGATCCTCGAAGGCGATGCCCTTTCTGGAGCGCCTCAAATACGCCGACCCTGGGTCCAGGCTGGGTATGGCCAGGATCGGAGTAGGCGCATCGTGCTGTTGCCCGAAGTCGCCCACGCTCCCTAGACAGGAGCTTCTGGCATGACGCAGAACATCATGAACATCGTGACTACACTCTCCGCTGGCACGACAAGCATGTGTGCGAAGAGCGCGGCAAGTTTTCTGAAGCTTGGGCCTGGCCCTGAAATCTCAGCGTCGCACAGCACCGACAGGCTCTCGAATCTTGACGGAGCGTGGAAATGCTGGTCCCTACACGCGCCAATGGAAAAACCCAGCGGATACAAATTGTCAGATCCGATAGGTCAATAGTGGCTTGTGCAGACGGGAAAGAAACACCAAATAGCATGGACATCCAGGCATAATAATTGAACGCGTAAGCGGGGACAGCATTATTCGGAACCTTCGCGGGTAAAGTATCTACAGCAGTCTTGCGAGAGCTGATGCCTGCTTCACAGCAAAGTCACAGTAGGTGAAACATGCCGTCCCTGCTCAAACAATAGTAACACTGAATCTCCCAGACATCCGGCGGATGTTTTTTCTCAACCATCCTGTGGTGTTGGGTCCTCGTTTTGACGCGACAGCGCCGCGCGTCCCTCCTCCACCTCCTCCTCCTCCTCCTCCTCTCCTCATCCCCCTCCTCCCTCCCTCCTCCCGCCCTCCTCCCATCATCATCATCATCATCATCATCATCATCATCATCATCATCATCATCATCATCATCATCATCATCATCATCATCATCATCATCATCATCATCATCATCATCATCATCACCATCACCATCACCATCACCATCATCATCATCATCATCATTATCATCATCATCATCATCGCCATCGTCATCGTCATCGTCACCGTGATCGTCGTCACCATCATCAACATCATCAACATAATGGCCGTCATCATCATCATCAGCATCATCATCATCATCATCATCATCATCACCATCATCAGCATCATCAGCAGCATCGCCATCAGCATCGCCATCATCCTCATCCTCATCCTCATCAACATCATCATCAACATCATCATCAGCATGGCCGTCATCATCACCATGATCGTCATCATCACCACCATCGTCATCGTCTTCGTCACACCACTCACACGCTTCGTGGCTCCATAGGGAGCCCCACCCAAGGTCCCAATAGCGCAGTCCGCATGGCAGTTTCGTTTCCCCATCGGCAACTCCACCGCAGGTCCCAGAGGCGCAGTCCGCATGGCGGCGCCGCCCTATTTTAGCACACCCCTCACGCGCTTCGTGGCCCCATGGGGAGCTCCACCTAAGGTCCCAGTGGCGCAGTCCGCATGGAGGCGCCGCCCCATTTTGGAACACCCCTCACACGCTTCGTGGCACCATAGGGACCTCTAGATAAGGTCACAAAGGCGCAGTCCGCATGGCGGCGCCGCCCCGTTCTGGCACACACACACACACACACCTCACACGCTTCGTGGCCCCAGAAGGAGCTCCACCTAAGGTCCCAGTGGCGCAGTCCGCATGGCGGCGCCGCCCCATTTTGGAATACCCCTTACACGTTTCGTGGCCCCGGAAGGAGCGCCACCTGAAGTCCTAGCGCCACCGTCCACATGCGTCCTCCATACCCATTACGGCACACCCCTCACACGCTTCCTGGCCCCATAGGGAGCTCCACCAAAGGCCCCAGTGCCACCGTCCACATGCGTCCCCCACACCCATTTCGGCACACCCCTCACACTCTTCGTGGCCCCATAGGGAGCGCCACCAAAAGCCCCAGTGCCGCCGTCCGCATGCGTCCGGTGCCCATTTCGGCACACCCCTTACACGTTTCGTGGCCCCATAGGGAGCTCCACATAATGCCCCAATGCCACCGTCCACATGCGTCCCCCACGCCATTTTCGGCACACCCCTCACACGTTTCGTGCCCCCACAAGGAGCTCCACCGAAGGCCCCAGTGCCACCGTCCGCATGCGTCCAGTGCCAATTTCGGCACACCCCTCACAGGGTTCGTGGCCCCATAGGGAGCGCCACCGAAGAAGATATTCACAATTGCGGCACGCACAATTGCAAATGGTTGGGTCCTTCGCCAGGCTATTGCTTCAATCCGCGGACCCAAGAATTCTCGACCCTTGTCTCGGGAGGAAGTGCTCAGTCTTCATCCTAGATCGTGATCTGACTGTCCTGGGGCCAGAAAGCGGCCCCACAGACAGAACTTCCAGAAAAACGCTGGCATTGAACAAGTCAATCCGCTGGAAGTCGGGGTTGCGAAAAATGGCCCAATCTTGCACCGTGAAAGGCAGGGCGCCAGCTGGCGAAGTCTTTGGCCCAGCGCGGCAGTGGAGGAGGGGAGGAGGATAAAGACGAGGAGTGATCAACTCGCGAACTCTTTGTCCCATCCCGTGCCGTCGTCCTTGTATGTAATCTGCTTCGGCATGTCCTCAGGCCGTGCCGAGAAGTTTGCAATGTCCTTCTTGCTCTTGACCGTGGGCTTGTACGGCGCATCCAATGTCCCGCTCTCCATTGCCCCCCAATCGAAGTCCTCGCAGGGCGATGGCGAACCATGCACACTCTTCTGAAGCTGAAGATGGTGGGAAGTCCCCGCCGTCCAGAGGATACGAGAGCACCGACGCCAGTGCAAGCCCAATCGACGCGCTTCGAGATATGGAGAGAACGGGCGGGATGGGTTAGTGTACTCATACCAGGACCTCTGACCTCACCCCCAGGGTCCAATCTCTCGAGCTAGGCAATTGTTTCCTGCGCGTTATGGCGTGGTACACCAGCGTCTCGCAGACGTCTCAGGATGAAGTCGTACCCAAATGACTTACAATCTCCCCATGCGTCCTTCAAATGTGTCGGTCCTGGGGCCCAGAAGCGACCCCAGCACTGAAATTCAACCAACAATCATGACGTCGGAGGTCTGGGCAGGGACGCGCCGCGTCGCACCGCAGCATCGGGGGTCGTCACAGGCCTCATGAGGGGTTCCTTGGAGGCCAGATGGGCCTCCCTGGGAAAGGATGGGGCCACCTCGGGCCATGGCTCATCGAGCAACACCCGCCCGCACTGCGGGAGCGGTGCTGGGCAGCCGGCCACCGGACCAGGGATCCAGGATCTCACGGCCGACTGACGGCCGACAGTCGAAGGTCGAGGGCCGCGCACGCCCTCTCGGCAGCTTCCTGGGTGAGACGGAGAAGCATGCGCACGTGCGCGTTCTACTTACAACGTCTCCACCGCGCTACTGGGATAGCGTACGATTCCCCCGGAGTGGGCACACAAATGAGGGGTGCGGCATACTCAAGCCTCTGAAGGGAGGGGCGCTCACTGTCCAACGCCCTCAGGGCAGCCTTACCACCGCCGTTCGAGCCTGCCACAAAACAATCCTTCCGACCTGTTAGTGCATGGAGTTCCTCTGGGGTGGCGCCGCCCAGGAGCTGTCGCCACTGGCCCATGCAGCGGTGTCGGCAACCCGATCTTGCCCACACACGCATCGCGCATACCTTGGGAGATCCAGTCGACCCTACTAGAGTTACAGCTGAGCGTGCTAACTGCTCTGCCGCTACTCAGAATGGGAAATTGGCAAGCGTATAAATACCGCTCTCGTCGTAATGTTGATGGTCCTGGCACAAATATGTTGTATGTCATCGTCTTCGAGAAGCAAGGAACTCACGATTGAGCGCATTTCATGCGATTCCCAATCCGGAAAGGGTTTGCGACCGTTGACGAGGCAGGCACGCTTGTCGGCATGTTCGTCGTAGAACGAGTCGGCACATCTCACTGTACGAGTAGAGCTGTGTACACTCCCCCGTTCGATGATGTGAAGAGGCAGTATGAGAACTCATCTTGGATCCCTGGGCCACCCAGGGCGTATGACTGACTGCCTCTGGCGCGCGCGCCAGTGCGCATTGGATGCGTTCTCGCCTCTCTTTTGCGCCTCCAGTGTCAGAGCTGTGCTCGGCTGAAGGCGCAAGCATTCTATCGGCTTCTATCTGTATCAGGCGCACAAAGTCTCGCATTCTATCGGCTTTCGACTCGAACGCCCGAACAGTTCCCTGACACCTGGCCTTGATGTGAACACATCGTTATGCGGAAATCAGCGTATGTCCTGGTATTTGCTGGCGTGCTTGCTCGACTGTTTGACTCTATGCTTGCAAGATAGATCTACAAACTACTTTCACATACACCTCGGATGCCGGTCCAATCGCTTGCATGACACCTGAAGGATCCCGGAGTCTACCTTGGAAGTCTTGCAGACGCACCAGATCCATTCAGTCGGCCTGGCGGCCTGTGCACACCATACATACACATATCACATATCCCTGGACAGCTCACAAAGTCAACCGATCTCGAGAAGTACCTCGGACAGACCGTTCAGCCCCAGAAATCCTCGACGCGACATCGACACAGGCACCCACTGGCAGCAGTCTAACAAGCTCGGTAAAATATCATCTCACACGCAAATGCTGGCTCTTTGGCCGCCCCGCACCTCTAGGGCAGCTTGATTGTGGCACCCGTGCCCTACATGCGGGGCAAGCATGCCACGATGATGCCTGCCGAGCCCAACGGTGAGAGTAGGGGAATACGTGAGAAGACGGAGTGCTCTCCTTGTAGGCTGCCACTGCGCATATCGGTCATGATCAGACAAACAACCATCTTCACTGACACACTGGAGCCGACAGCTGGGACGTGGTCTCCCAGACCTCGAGAGGTCAATTGCCTCCGGAGACCTCTGCAGGCCAAGAAGGGGCCCAACACAACCAAAAACCTCGATCCCCCCTCCCCCTCCTCCTCGAACCTTCTCCTCCTCTTCCGCCTCCTCCGTACCTTCCCCCTGAGATCCGACGTCGCGAACAAAAATGCGCATCGCGAACAATCACGACCGTAATCCTTGAACATGTCGGCTCTGCGGCATGTATCGAGCCGGGTCGATCAGTGAGCGTGCTAGGGCCTCAGGCTGGGCGAAGGCGCCCAATGCTATCAAATACGACGCCCAGATCCCAGGGTCATTTCCCTACTTTCGGGTCGGGCGACATTGGGGGATGGCAGATGGGGGGCAGCGAATCCGCTGCATGCCGCTGGTCTTCCTCGGCGCACCACGTACACCAAGGAATTGGCTCGGCGGCCGGAACCCGCTGCACGCAGCACGCTTCGTGCGCCCCCCCTTCGTTCCCACTCCTCCCGCCCTCGTCGGACCCGATGCTCCCCGCAGACGGTCCTGGTACCACTTGTGGTCCTTGATGTTGCGGGTGCCGCCAGGTCTCATGGGCAGGCGCTCGCTCGGCTCCTCTGCGCGGGATCGGCCGCCCCCCTCGAGGCTGCGCAAGGCCCTCGTCGGCCCGCCCCGCGCCCCGCGCATTGCGAGCCCGTGCCTCCTCCTCCTGACCCTCTTCCTCCCGCTCCCTCTCTCCTCCCTCCTTCCCTTCCCCTCCTGCATCCTTCCTCCCTGCTTCCTCCTCTTCACCGCATGGTGCGCTGCGGGGAGAGGTCGCATCCAGCCATCGACGTCCAGCGGCCGATTCTGGGCCCCGAAACCGTCTAGAAGCCAAGACTTCCAAGGGATTGTTTTTTTCAATTTGGCGTGCCCCAGAAATCTTGAAGAATTTCCCAGGGCCGCTATTCTGTCTCGAATCCACTTTCGATAAACAATGAGCTCGATAACGGCCCCCGGACGCCGAAGCAAAGGACCAAATAATAAAAAAACACAAGAAACAAACAGATCACATTGAAAAACTCCAACTAAAGGAGTTCTGCATCACACCTTCTCTCTCTCTCTCTCTTTCTTTTTTTGTTTCTCTCTCTCTCTCTCTCTCTGTATAAATATACATACATATATAAATAAATATATATATATATATATATACTAGAACCACGCGCGCGCTTCGCGCGCGCTTAGGTTCTAGCTAGGAGGCGAGCTTGAGTCAACGAAAGTCGCAGGGAAGGGGGCAGGGGGAAGAAGGCCAGAGAGCGCTGAAGGATACAAATACTGGAACCCTCTTGTGATTTTGTGGGGGGCCTCGTCCGGCCGCTCGCTGGGAGTTTGACGTAGCTTCTCGGGAGCCTCTGAACCTGTCGGGGGCCTCCTGGAAGCAGGTTCGAAGCATTTTGGGGGCCGATTTGGGGCTTCTCGGGGCCTCCTTTGGGCCTCTTGGGGGTCTCCTGGGGCCTCTTGAGGGGCCTCCTTGGGGCCTCCTGGCGGCCTCTTGGGGCGGAAGGCTCGAGCTTGCGGTTCGTGGTCCCCCTCTGGGCCCCCTCTTGGGCCCGTCTTGGGGCCCTCTTGGGCCATCTTGGGCGCCTCTTGGGCCGTCTTGGGGCCCTCTTGGGCTGTCCTGGGGCCCTCTTGGAAGCTTCTTGGGCCGTCTTGGGGCGGTCTTGGGCGCCTCTTGGGCCGTCCTGTAACGTCGGAAAGCCCAAAAGGCGACTTTGTGAAAAATGTACGTCTTACGAAGGGAATGGGCCAATTTTTGCGTCTAGGGGCCCTCTTGGGACGCATGTTGGCTTCTTGGGGCGTCTTGGGGGCGTCCTTGGACGTCTGGAGGCCATCTTCAGCATCTTGGAGCCCTCTTGGAGGCCTCTTGGAAATTTCTTGGGCCGTCTTGGGCGCTTCTTGGGCCGTCTTGTCTGACCGGGGAGGCCTCTGGCAAGCCCCGACGAGCCTCCGGTGCCCCCGGGGCCCACATTTGCGGTCGGGGTCCCGGCCCCGGGCCCCCGGACCCGGTGCGCCGTTATATGTGTATATATATATATAGAGAGAGAGAGAGAGAGAGAGAGAGAGAGAGAGTGAGACAGAGAGACGGACTGATTTGGTGCTTCGCGCCATGCAGCTTTGTCCTTGAATTTTGGCATGCATGCGGGCGGGCAAGAATGTAACACATGAAATTGAACGATAACTCCTGGCTGCATTTCCCGACATCGTCGCTCGAGCAATGTCGTGTCTTATCCTTCCCTCATGCTTCCTCTTCCTCTTCCCCACTCTCGCCTTACCCTGCGAATCCTTCCCCATCCAATCCTCCTCAGCTATTTCTGCGGAGGCTTCTCCTGGAGAGCCTTGTGGGTGCCTCGTGCCAATGTTTAACACCGTCTTGGGCCTTTATGGAGGCCTCCTGGGTTCCTTCTGGGAACCTCAGGAGGCTTCCTCGGGCAACCCCGCGTCCAGCGGCAGTCTCCCTGAAAAACAGGGTCACGATTTGGAATGCTTCGGGGGGCGTATTGGGGCCATCTTGGACCTTCATGGCGCTCTGTTCGGGCCATCTTGGGGCCCTGTTTGGCCGTCTTGGGGCTCTCTCTTAAATTGTCGAGAAGCCTTTTGGGTAGTGTGGGGGCGATTGTCGAGCCTCCTGGGCGGTCTCGGACGCCCGAAGACCGAAGAACTGAGCATCCCCAAAATCATACCAAACCATGTGGGACATTCATGTTTTTTCTTCTGCGTTTCGACAACCTCTTGGGGATCTTCTTTGGGTCGTCTTCGGGCGTCTGGTAGGGCTCTTGGGCCTCTTGGGGCTCTGGCGGAGCCGGTCGGCCGCCCTCCTGACCGATGTGGGCCCATTGCTTCGGCCCAGCAGGGCGCGTGGCGCGAGAGGTGTCGAGTAGCACGTGTGGCTACGCGGTATGCAGTACTGGCAACGCTGCGAGGTGATGCGAATGCCTGGACTGTTGAGCAGGCCGCCCGTGTTCGCGATCTTTGGCTCGGAGTGCGGCCGCGTGCTTCGAAGGCAGCAGATTGCAGTTAGCAAGGATCCACTCGCGGCACTTGGGGCGACGCCTATAAAAAATCCGCCGACCCTGCCGGCGTGTGGAAGAGGCTGTTCCGTTTGACTCGTCGTCGTCGTCGTCGTGGTCGTGTCGTCGTCGCATTCGCCGCTTATTTTCCCCCTTTTCCTTAGGCCCGTCGCCGTTCCCCCCACTTTCACTGGGTTCTCCTCCTCGAGCGCGCCAGCCACAGCGAAATTGAGCAACGTTGTAGTTGAGTCGAAGGCGGGGAGCCCCTTCCCTTTGATCCCTTTCCCATCTGGGGGGTGGTCCCGGGGGTGAGGTCCCGGGAGGGGGTCCCGGGGCAGAGAATTACGACTCCTCCTCGGGCGGTTGGGCGGCCAAGAGAACCCGCAGGACGCGGCAAAACTGCCCCAAGATGCCCCCAAGACGGTCCTCGAGGGCTCCGAATCGCCGAAGTATCGGTCCAACTCGCCAAAGTAGTCTCCAGACGGCTCAACATGATTCCAAAACGTCCCATAAGAGGCCTCCAAGAGGACTTCCAAGAGGGCCCCAGAGGGCAAAAATCATCGAATTCCAATAAGCTTTTGAACGGTTCCGGCATTCTCGCCTTATCAGCAGCTTCCCGACGCTCCAAGACAAGCCAAGAAGCCACCAAGACCGCCCCAAGATGGCCCAAGAGGCCTCCAAGAGAGCCCCAAAACGACCCAAGAGGGCCCAGACCGACCAAGAGGCCTCCAAGACAGCCGAAGAGGCCCCCAAGATGGCTCCAAGGAGGAGCCTAGACGGGGGGCCCGAACGGACATTTCGAGCCCCCGGCCTGAGAAGCTCTCAGGAGGCCCCCAGAAGTAAAAGCCCCCCAAAAAGCTCCAAGAAACCCCCAAGAGACCCCCAGGAAGCCCCGAGAGGCCCCCACGAAGCTTCCAAGCGGCCCCCAAGAGCTCCCCAAACCGCCCCCAAACTACCCCCAAGAGGCCCCCGAGAGCGCTCGTCGTCGTCGTCGTCGCCATTCAGGGTCGGCTGCACCAGCTGGAAGGCCTTCGCAATATATTCCAGCAGACGCACTTGCTAACGAAAATCAGCCAGCCCCCTTGTGGGGCCACCAGGCTGCAGGGCGAAGGTTCGCAGTTTCCTGAACCAGTTGCAGCTTCCAGTTTCCACTGTTACAGCTCTGCTTCTTGCTGCTTGCTGTTCCTTGTTGATGGACCGCGCGAGGGGGGAGGCCCAAAACGGGCATTTTTACCACGCCCTGAGCAAGCGCACGAAAACCAGGGAGCTGAGCTACCAGATGCGCGAATTGAGCTGCAGCGAAATAACCAACCACAGTTGGGACGCAGCCAAAATGGCGCGGTGCTCTGCCAGGGTTTGACCAGGGAGGTCACCAGTCGGTACACTGGGGAGACTGTCATGGGTGCCCGACACGGTCCAAACTGGCGCACTTGGTGGCGCCACCAAAGTCGCACGCCAAAGCCCCAGGGAAGAGTGCTGATCCTGCGAGCGTCCGGCCACAGAAGGCCCCGGACACGGGCGAAGCAGCCAGGGACACGATGGATGCAATCGACACCGACAGCGCCTGAACTACCAGACCAGGAGGGGCCGCGCGCACTCGCATGCTGGAACCGACGACTGCGGGCTGCCCGAACCATGGAGATTCACGCCTCAACGCCGAATCGATGTAGCAAGAGCGGGCGAATCGACGCGGTCGGCCGGCAGCCAGGAACGCAAAGGCTGTACCGCGCGCGCTCGGGAGCCCCAAGCCCTGGGACAGGACAGAGCCGCAGGAGCAGGGAGGAAGGGAGGAGCGAGGCCGGTAGCCCAACCGTGGGGGGAGAGCCGCTCCAGCACGGTGGGAACCAGGGGGCGCGGGAGCTGGAGCGCGCCGGCGCGGTGAAAACAGCTACAGCAGGGCCAGGGGCCAGATGGGACAGGTGGGACACGGCCCCAGCGGTAGTCCACGAGCCAATATTATCAGCTGGCCGCTGCCGGAATCCCAAGGGCAGGGGACAGCGGGAGCTGGGCAGAAAGCGCTAACAGGGAGAGGCTAACGGCCACTGATTTGCTGATTCCAGAGGGGACGTCATCATGCGCGGGAACGCATGTCGCCTCGCCCGTCGCCGCAGTGAGAGACCCACGCGAGCCTTCCGTCAACTGCTGAGCCAGTCCTCTGGGCAGGGAAGGCGTGGCGCCCCCGAACTGCGCGGCCCGCTGTGGCCCACCGTGGGTCGGCACACCAGGGTGCCAGAGAGCAGCTGAAGGCGGCGCTGTCTGCAAGAAGCCACGGCGACCAACGCGCCCATGCGCGGCAGGCTGCATCTAATGTGAAACACGGGCGGGCGGGCCCGCAACGTTGGAGGACCAGGGGCCATGCGGGGCAGGGGGGCCCAGCCCCAGCGGCCGTCCACGTGCCAGTATTGTCAGCTGGCCGCTGCCAGAATCCCAAGGGTGGGAGGCGGCGGGAGCTGGGCAGAAAGCGCTACCAGGGAGTGGCTAACGGCCACTGGCTTGCCGATTACAGAAGGGCCCTCACCAAGTGCGGGAGCGTGCGTCGCCTCCCCCGACGCCGCAGTGAAAGACCCCCGCGGGACTTCTGTCAGCTGTTGAGCTCGCCCTCTGGGCAGGGAGGCGTCACTCCCCCATGCCGCGTGGCCCACTGTGGCCCACAGCTGGTCGGCATATCAGGGTACCAGGGAGCAGCTGAAGACGGCACTTTCTGCAAGAACCACAGCGACCAACGCGCGCGTGCGCGGCAGACCCGGCAGGCTGCGTCTAGTGTGAAACACGGGCGGGCGAACCCGCAATGTTGGGAGGGGCGAGGAGCCCTGAAGGCGGCAGGAGGCCGCCGCAGGGGAGATGCCGCGGGGGGAGGGGAGAAGCAGTGAGCGCTGCCGGGGAGTGTCTGTCGGCCACTGGTTGCCGGGAGCCTCTGGGTCACCGCCATGTGCGGGAGCGCTTGTCGCCCCTCCCGTCGCCGCTGAGGTCGCCGCATCGCTTGCTCCCCCGTCTGCCAGTCGTCGTCGTGGGACCAGGACCAGTTGTCCCAGTCCCAGGACTGCTGGGAGCTTGTCGCTCGGCCCTTAGGCTGGAGGGCGCCTTTGCCCTGGTTCCCCGTCCATTTGGTGCGCTCCCGGTCTCAGTCGACCTGAAGGTCGAGCCGCCGGTCCATCTCGTAGGCGTCGTACCCGCAGCGCTTCCAGGCGTCCAGGAATTCGCGGCAGGTTACCTCTGAGTTCCGCGAGGGGTCGCTTTTCGCCTTGCCTTTGGGTCCCGCTGGGTGCTTTCGGGTGTAGGCGTGCCAGACGCCGCTGAAGACCCCTCCCAGGACTTGCTGGAGTCGCGTGATCTTGGCCGCTGGCGTCTCGCCGATCCTGTCGAGCTGGACGTTACCCATCAGTTCCTTGTACATGCGGCCTCCGTCTACTGGGTCGACGAAGTCGTCGAAGACCCGTCTCACGGCCCTGCCGTGCCTCCACGGGGGGGTCGTGTCGCACCTCGCTGGGGCTGCTGTTGGCGCACTGCTGCTACCAGGTGCGCCGGCTGGGGCTGCTTGCCTGTGCGGGGTATCGCGGCTCGCCCTGCGCGGAGGGCCGACGCTGGCCTTGGCCCCTGAGTGGTCCCCCAAGTGAAACCTAACACAAACCGAAACGCCTCCAAGACGGCCCAAGATGCCCTCAAGACGGCTCCAAGAGCGTGCCCAGACGAGGGACACGAACGGACATTTCGAGCCCTCGACCCCGTAAAGCTCCCAGGAGGTCCCAAGAGGTTCCCAAGAAGTTCTAAGAGGACCACAACAGGCCCTCAGGATACCCGAAAGCGTTCTCGCCTACGTATTACTTATCCCGCCGCTCCAAGACAGCCCGAGAGGCCCTCACGATCGCCTGCAGACGGTCGAAGAGGCTTCCAAGTCAGCCCGCAAACAGCCCCAGGGAACGCAAAGACAGCCCCAAACGTTCCCAAGACGAATCCAGAGGCCCCCAACACGACTCCCGAAGCCTTCCCACACGGGACACCCGAACGCACGTGTCGAGCTCTTAGCTTTGACAGGCTCCCAGGCCTTCCCGCCGCTTCAAGACAACCCGAGAGGCCCTCACGATCAGCCCCAGACGGTCAAACATGCCTCCAAAAGACCCCACAAACAGCCCCAGGGAACACAAAGACAGCCCCAAACGCCTCCGAGACGATTCCAGAGGCCCCCAACACGAATCCAAAAACGTGCTCACACGGGACATCCGAACGGACACTTCGAGCTGTCGGCTCTGCGAGGCTCCTAGGAGGCTTTCAGAGACCCCCCAAAGAGCCCAACACACAATAAGTCCTAACCCGCACTATCCTCGACCCAACCCCGTCATCTTTCTCCTTCACACGTCCCCCTGCACTCCCCCCTGGTGCTCAGCCCCCCCTCTCAACATCTGCCTAGACATCCCCATGCTCCTCCACATGATCGCCACCCTCCTCCTGCTCCTCCGCCTCCTCCTCCTCCTTCTCTTTCTTCACCTCCTCCACCTCCTCGGGGTCGACTTCCGCCTCCTCCTCATGCGGCTTCTCCTCCTCCTCCTCCTCATTCGACCTCGTCGGGATCAGCGTCGTCGTCTTCAGGAGCGGCGGCACCGGCCGTAAGGCCTTCGCAATCGACTAGGCACTTTCGCCAAATTCGCTCGGACCCCAGTGCACGCACTGATTGGGGAACATCCACCCCAAGTCTGGGCAACGGGGCGGAGATCCAATCGGCCCCCTGTACGAAGCTCGAGATACTGCTTGGAAGTGACAGCATGCCCGTTTGCGAGCTTGTCACCCCTCGTGCTAGGCTCGGGGAGCCCTTGGCGGGCCCATCCTGCGCTGCACTAGCGAGGAAGAGATCTGCGCGTCTCCGCATCGGGTCTGGGATATCCTGGCGCCCTGCGCGAACCTTTCGCGCGGAATGCACATTCCCTTCCTCACATGTGGCTATCCTCGCCCTCCTCCTGAGCCTCTGTCGCCGCTCACTGACCACGCTGAAACAGCGCAAAACCTACCATCGCACAGAGCAATCCCCGCATCAAGAAAGAACCATCCTTCTTCAGAAGGCCCTTGATCAAGTCGCCTACCGGACCCTGGCACTTCACGGGGAAAGGGACTTTGCTGATGCCCTTCATGACCTCTCTTCAAGGGCATGCAGATGGTGCACGATGCGTCCGTTGTTCCATATCCTCCTCCTCCTCCTCCTCCTCCTCCTCCCTCTCCTCTTCCTCCTCCTCCTCCTCCGTCTCCACTTGCTCCTTTCTGTTCCCGTCAAGCCACCATTGCAGTGCAGGTAGCAACGTGAACTCGGCCGCAGGTGCATAACAACGGGAACAGCAGGGACAGAAGCATAGGGAAGCGGAAGGCCCAACTCACGCAACGAGCGACGGCTACGTCGGTAAGGGCTGCCCAGCATGATGGTGACAACCTGTTAGCGGGTGGGAGGTCGCTGCAGTGTATGGCCCTAATGGAATGCCAGCGGAAAAGACGCTCGAGGATGTGCGCTGATGCCAGCACGGGCGCCTCGGCAAACGGCCGTCTTGACATGCTTTCTGCCTCCAGAGGCGGCTGTGGATCAGAATCCAGTGCGGCACCAAAGCCTCTACAGAGGAGAATCCTCTTCCTCCTCCTCCTCTTCCAGCGACAGCCTGGTGGAGCGAGAGAGAAGCAGCCTAGCCAGGGAAGCTCAAGGAATGGCCAGGCTGAGAAGATGGCCAGTATTGGTTATCGGCCGTAAAACCCTCTTACTCCCGGAGGATGAAGAGAATCGAGTGTGTTATGATGTTGGTTTGTCCCTCTGCGTATTGTATTACTTTCCCTACACGGTGTTTCCATCTCCAGAGACCTTCAGATCGTACGTCTTGCACGTCTCGTGGTATTCGTCATCTATGCCTCCAGGTTCGCCCAGATGAATCCCAGACAGAGTTTGGTAGGGGAGGTAGGAGGCACAAAAGAGGAGACGAGAGGAAGAATCTGAGGAGGAGACGACAGGCGGAAGGGATGGAGGACGGAAGGAGGGATGGATGGAGGGATGGAGAACGGACGGATGGACGAATGGATTGATGAGAGGAAGGAGGGAAGAGGAAACTGAGAAGAGGGAGCAGGGAAGGATGGGAAGGATACGTAAGCGCAGCAGAAGCATGAAGACGAGGACAGAGAGAAGACTCTCCCTCCTCCTGCTCCTCCTCATCCGCCTCCTCCTCATGCTTCCCTCTCTTCCGCCCCTTGCTCTCCCGGTCCCCCTCCTTCTCCTCCTTCTCCGACCTTTCCCGCCTCCTGCCTCCTCCCTCACCTCCTCCTGCATCGCCTCCACCTGCCTCACCCTCATCCGTCACATCCCGCCCGCCGCTCCTCCTCCTCCTCCTCCTCC